ATTAACCTAAGCCTTGCAAATCAATTGGAAACTCCATTGTGCTTACCGGCCTCAAAGTTCAAGACAAGTAAAAAAGATAAGTCAGATTTTAAAGACGATAATTACTAATGGCCTTAAAAACTGGCGAGAACTGGGTGAGTCTCCTTCCTTTTGCTCTTTTATTTCCCCTTTCAAGGCTTTGTATGGAAGACCTCTTCCTCTTATCCTTAAGATTTCTAAAGAAAAATTAGCTGATTTGGCTAATCAAGATCTTATTAAGTCCCCCCCAGACTTTTCAGCCAGTTCTGACTTCCGTCCACCAGTTATTTCACTGCTGCCCACTGCGAGGACGAACACCCTGCTGTGGAGCCTGGACACTGGTCCTTATCAAGAGGCATCACTGTGAATCTCCTGAGCCGCAACAGACTATCAAAGTAGTCAAAAAGCCTGCCTGGATTTATCATTCCCACTGCAAGCAGGTCTTGGCTTCCAAAGACGATCAGCCTGCGGATAAGTGGACTGTCTTTCCCTCCAAAGAGTCTTTAAAGCTTAATATTGCCAAATGTAACTTGATAACCTTGTGTTCTCCCTTGTAGAGACTCCAAGGAGGCCTCTGTCTGACTTTAAAAAAATTCTTACTTATATGATAAAACAGAATAAATTTGAATGTTGGTTTTCTTTCTCCTTATGGTTAACAGCTTTAATGACAGCTGCATGACCTTTGTTAATCCTCCTATTGGACCTTATATTGTAAACAAGTTGATAAACTATGTCAAAGATCTTAAAAGCTTATGATTTTAAAGACCCACACAAGGTTATAAACAGATACCTTTGAGTCAATGATTTGACTCACTAACTAAAAATCAGTGGGGAATGTTATAACCTATATATAAAAACCCCTCATAAGTCTCAGAGGCAAGAAAAAGATCAAAGGTAACTCTAAGAGCAGAACAGGATGTCTTCCTAATCTAAACTTGCTTGTTTGCAGGGAAACTTGCTTGTTTGGAAGGAAACTTGCTTGTTTGCAGGGAAACTTGCTTGTTTGCAGGGTAACTTGCTTATTTGCAGGATGTGCCTTCCCCCAGAGGATGTTTGCCTAATCTAAACTTGCTTGTTAGCCCAACTCTTACTGAACCTTGCTCTTCCCAAGAAATGTAATCACCATGTGCCTGTTCTGTAGTGCGCCACAAACCCACCCCCTCCTTGCATTGTGAGACCAGCAGCTGTTTGCGGGTTTTACAAGATAAAAACCCTGCCCTTTAGCTGTTAGGCATGCAGTCTTCCATATTGGCTACCAAAGCTGTGTCGCCAGGCCTGGCCTAAAATACAGCCTTTGCTCCAAATTCCTTAATTTCTTGCTTCCTTGGATTTTATTCCGCGGTCCGAGCTATCACACAGAGGAATACACATTCTGCTTGTTGAGGAGACAAGGTTTAGACTCATGGAAAGACTACAGTCAACACAGATATCATAGTGACAAGTGGCACTGGGAAATTAATGGCTAGTCCTACCACTTGAGAGGAAGGCTCAGTGCTTTCTTCTCACATAACCAACCGCTGTCGGTCGAGTGCTTCTCACCTACTGGGCTTGCCACTCAAGCCAAAGGAAGAGGGCAGAGCAGGGTTTCTTCAGCCTCCCTATTTCTGTCATTTGTTGCTGTGTGAATTTAAGTAAGCTTCTTTATCTAAAGAATAAAAATAAAAAGTAAAAGATTCTTTACCTCCCTTCCTAGTGGGGAAATAAGAATAATAATCACTATCTCTTCATGCTTTTGTGCAAACTCAATGAGCAGACATTTGCAGAACACTTGGAATAACACCTAACTCATAACAAATAATTCCACAGATTAGTTACAGTCTCTTTCAGTGCTTATGCTAATCCACTGTGGTGAGCAATAAATCTCCACTTTATACAAAAAGGAACTGAGGATGCTCGTGTGGCTTGTCTGAAATAGTGAAGGTCAAAGCCAGGATTTTCAGTCACATCTGGGAAACCAAACTTCACTGTTTCTTTCCACTGTGCTTCTGAACACAGGATACCATTGTTAGGAAAGAGTACAGCAGAATGGGAAAGTTGGTAGGGCTGGGACTGCCATCTGCCTCCCTGTCCATCTTAGTTCTGCTCTCCATTAGGTGTAAAATCTTGCAAAAATTACTGAGCATTCTGAGCATATTATCACTGTAGGTAAAAATATTGCTAATTTCACAGGGCTGTTTTAAGGATTAAATAACGATGTATGTGAGATTCTCATTACAGTGCCTGCCACATATTAAGTCATTGATAAATGACAACTGCTTTATTTACAGTAGTCCTCCCTTATTTTCAAAGAATATATTCCAAAATCTCCAGTGGGTGGCTGGAACTTAGCTCTGAACTATGGTCTGTATGCAGTCACCCCTCAGAATCTTGGGGCCTCTTCGTTCAACATTGCTTCCAAAATCCACAGCTGCTTACATCCCTTGCATAAAATGGCTCAGTGTTTGCATATAATTTATATACATCCATATATTTTAAATTCTTTCTTATAACACCTAACACAATGTAACTGCTATCTAAATAATGCACCTAAGTGATACTGTACTGTTTAGTGAATAATGAAAAGAAAAAGTCTCTACATGTTCAGTAAAGACCCACTTTTTCCCAAAACTTTCTGGTCCACAGTCAGCAGGATGCACAGATACAGAACACACACAGACTGTGGACTGTAATTTTTCCTATACCTGCACCTATGATACACTTCAGTGTACAAATCAAACACAGTAAGAGATTAATTATGACTAATAATAAAATAGAATAAGTTTTAAACCATCTATGGTCAAAAGCTATTCAAAACTTATGAGTCATTTCTGGGTTTTTTTCTCTTACTATTTTGCAGACTGGGCAGTCTGACTTGTGCAGTCTGAAACTGCACGTGAAGCTGAAGATAAGGACAGATGACTGCAGTGCCATTGGAACGGGCATCATAAACCATTCTGTGGAGTCCTTGCCTCCATGAAGTTGTCACTTAACCCCCAGTTTACCAGTCTGTTGTTGAGTTTCCCATTCTTGTTATTAGGTGTCAAACATAGAAGAGACACATGATTTATAGGAAGAGATAAGTCCTGCAGAGGGGACAAGTAGACAAGCAAAGAGGTGACAATCAGTGGCCATAGGCAGTCCCTAAGTGCCAAGAATTTCCATTGTCCAGACTTGTAAAAGAGTCAAAAATGCTCTTATGGAAACACAAGGAGAAATTTGGCCCTCAGCTCCTGGAGCAAGCCTCATATATACCTACCTGGAAGACTCGCATCCTTGGCAGGGAAAGCCCTACCCCACGTCTGACCTCTCTAACCTCTCCTAAATTTTAACAATGAGTTCATCACCCCTGACTTCTCAACTCTTACTGTTCGAGAGTGGAAACCAAGTTATATATCAGACAGTTAGAGAGAACTAGAAGGTATGCAGTGGAAAAACTTGGTAGAGAAGCAATAAAGGGGTGAAAATGTAATGGCAAATAGATGATAACAAAGGGGTTATAAACATAGGAAGAAAAAAAATGCTTTTTAAAAAAAAATTACCTGAAAAGTAGATATTATCACCATCCTGCTTTCCTGAAGAAGAAATTCAGTTCTAAGAAGTTCAGCTTTTGAACCCTAACTTGCTTTAGTCATGAGAACCCAATAAAAAAGATCTGGAAAAATATACAACAAATGTTTAAAAGTGGTTATCTGTGAGTAGTGAAACTATGGGTGATTTTAACTTTCTGGTTCTATATTTCTCTGTATTTCCTTTTTTTTTTTTTTTTTTTTTTTTTCCTGTTGAGTAGGCAAGTTACATACCAAAGGGGGAAAACCCAATGAAGTCGTTAAATGCATATCTGGGTGAAAGCTAAAGAGAAGAGCAGATGTTAAAGGCCATAAAAGTGCCAGCTGCAGAAGTATAAGGAAGTCACCTGGGTCAGCGGTTCCTGTGAAATCTAATCCATGGAGATGGGTGCAACTAAGACTAAAGGGGAAACAAGAAACAAATGAGGCCAGGTCTGAACTTTTGGCTCCAGGGAAACCAGGGAAGCGCAGCATGAAGAAAGCTTAGGTAAAACCCTCCGACTGAATATTTAGACACAAAGATGGAACTTTGATCTAGAAATAATTTAAACCCTGGACCTGGACAGAATCCACAATGGGAGGGGATCAAAAGAGGACTCCTAGCTCTCTGTGATCAAGAGTCGGGAACCACACCCCACACCCTCATGTTCTTAACCTTTGTTATAGAGCCTCACGTCCTTTGTGATTGGAGTTATAAACCAATTCGTGATGCAAGAGGATGAGAAAAAACGCAGAGTGCAGAGAGAACTGCACTCTAACTTCCACGCCAACCCGAGGAAGCAAAAGCAGGGATGGCCAAAGTCCCTCCCTCAGCCACAGTCCCCTTCTGCAGAGACTAGTCCCGAAGTTTGAGATGTCAGCAGGTTCCGAGGTAGAGCTGGCAATGAGTTTGCAGAAGAAAGAAGACATGGCTCCCACCTGCGTATTCCCAGAGAGCAAGAAGGTTCAGTCTCAGCCTCAACATCCTTTCTCTCTGGAAGCATTTTCAAACTCCAAGCAGACATTATGCAAAAGAAACTTTATTTGTGTAAATGACTGTGCCAAATTTCATAGCTGGAATACACACAAGCCTGGGTTTGGGCATTGGGTTGTGGTGCTAGATAATTCTAAGACAGGTCTGTAAATTCAAATGAGAAGGTCTTCAACCATAACCACAATAAGCAGCTGTAACTTTAGTTTTAAATATCTCACAGAGCCTTAGCAATGAATAAGCCCTTAATTTAATAAAAGTGACTAGCCACTCTTTTAGAACTTGTTCACTGTATAAAAACACATCATTTGTTCTAGTCAAGTCATAAATACAATCTATGTTTTTTTTTCTTACAGTCTCCTGTTCATGTACAAAAATAAGTGTAACAGCAAATATAAATAAACATATTAATGAATAAATATATTCAACATTAGGTGTTCTAAAAGTCATAAAGATATGGTCTAAATTAAGATGGGGCAATTAAAGACAACTGTGTAAAGAAAGAAATAATAAATAATGTAAAATGACCAGCACTGAATTAATTATATGGCAAAGAGATGGTGGCTTCAGTCATGTCTCTGTGATACTGAGGATGAGGACTTCTGGCCAGGAGTATTTTCAGCAGCCTCACTTTCCTCCTATTGTGTCTCCTCCATCCATCGCAAAAGAATGTCAAGTTCCCCCAAAACCTTCACTGCTGCTGCCTGCGGCTCCAGCTGAAAAAGATAGAGACACATGTGCTTAGCAGCTCACAAAGAACATCTGCCCTCAGGTTAACTCTCCTCATATTGCTAGATCTGCTGGGAACTGTGAGCAGAACATTTTTTGCAAGATCAGGACTTGAAAAAATGATAGACTCAAGATCACGTAAGAGGAGGAAAAATTCTTGAGTCTATCACCTTGGTCTTATGTAGAGAAAGGCTCAAGGTAGGTGGCAGAATTGGGACTACAACCCACTAGCTCACTGGACTCACAGAGATCAAAGTAATTAGGTTATTTTCTTTAAGAAGGATATGTGTATGTATGTGAATACATGCATACGTGTGTGTGTGTGTGTGTGTGTGTGTGTGTGTGTGTGTGTGTGTGTAGGGGTTGCCGACTACATGTATTTCTGTTGAATTAATACTGATCACGCAAGCGTTGGATTAATAACAGGGTTTGAGAGGTGAATGACACTCTCCATATCCACAGGGAATTCCCAGATGAGTGAAGGTGACAGGCAGAAGAAGCAGCCACCTGAAACACAGGGCAGGGATAAATGATCGGGGCCTAACAGGATGGCAGGACAGGCACCTAATTCTGAAAGGAGCAGGTGGGACCCACCTGGAGATGATGCTGAGAAGGGAACCCAGGCTTCCTGGCAGGTGCCAGAAGTGCCAAGGTGAGCGGCAGCATGGTGTGGGTGTTGAGAAAGTGCTTTTGAAGGAGTGTATAAGTTCGAGGATGTTGAACAAATAGATTGCCTTTCATTTGTGCGGCTGGAAGATGCAGATGTCTCTGGAGTGACTTGGTGGACTTGTGGCGAGGCTATTCCCTTCATATCCCCCACAGCATCGGCAAAGAGTACTCTTCCATCTCCACAGGGATAAGCTGAGGGTCACAGGATTTCTACAGCACGAGCACCCATCCCACCCATCTATCTCAGCTCTAAAATCCTACCCACCCCAGTCAATACCAAAAAGGGATCTACCTGTTCAAAGTGACTCAGAATCTGTCTGTGCGTCTCTGCTGCTTCCTGTCCACAGTGGCATGCCATGTATGTATGCTAAAAAAGACCCAAAGTATAACAGAAGTGATTTAAAATTCTGGTTTTTCTCTCTTGCCATTGACATGAGCAAGTAGAAATTCTGTTTCACCCACAACCCTGTGAATGCTCATTCCTGTAGAGAAATCCTTTCCAATCTTACTTAAAATCATTAAACTAATCATTGGCTGGAAGAGAAAACAGGCTTTTCAGCCTCAGAGGCAATGCTTTCTAGAAACAGGCAATGCCGAAGAAGTTTGTAACCACTATCCCCTACCTGGCATGCCTAGCCCAGATCTTCTGAGACCTTTGGAAGACAGAACTAGATTCCCAGACCCCATTCAGCCTGTATTCTGAGATCAAGTCCAGTGATCTGTGCATTGCTGGCCTGAATACAGAATGTACTGTTGAACACCTCATGCTGATGGACACCTTGCCTATAGAAAACTGTAGTTTCATGGATAACAGACAATTATCATAAACATTAAATACCTCCCTAAATTGCTAGCATTTGTAGTTTTTTAAACTATGCAAAGTATTTTTTGCAAGCAGCATATACTCAGAAGTCTTGCAATCTGCTTGCAACCAGAATCATGGAATGAATTCTGCAACCAGAATCATGGAAAGAATTAAGTTCATCAACTGAGATACCATTGTGCCTAATCAGATGACTCAACACAGATTATTACAGCTCTTGGGCTTGGTTTTTCCATCCGTTATTAAAGGACTGGGAAAGAAAGCCAGTTGCTGTCACTGAAGTCCTGTGCTAAAATAAATCCTGTTACCCAAGACCTTCACTCACACAGAGCTGGAGGTCCTTTTTGATAGTAAGAAAGGAATTCGCTAGACTGCTGATCTTCCGGAGTGTGTGATGATCAGAGGTCTGGTAGTTTTTGAATACTCTGTCCAGATAGAGTCTCAGTAAATGGCGGAGGAGGCAACAGCGATCTGAAGGCTAACAAAGAGACCAATATTACTGGGAGGAGGGATGGGGAGAAGATAGCCCCAAGTGATGCAGGTGATGCTTTGTGCCTCCTCCCAGAGCTCACTGGGGCCAACACATACCTCTGTGTCTTGCAAAGATCCAGTGCTCCTTAAGATTCTGAAGTCAGTATTTCTATCACTGGCTTGCTAAATACAAGAAGAAAAGGCAAAGGGACAGGTCAGTGGCTGCTGCCATAGCATTCGACATTGATACCTCTTGTTTCCTCCCCACCTGGCCTGGCGGGAGGCAACTCTTTCCAAAACATTTTTAAACTATGAACTACAGATATTTCCCTGGAGTGCGTCATCATGCTAATGGGTCCCCACCCTGCCATTCTGCATAATCACATCGACAGGGTTACCTGGGAAGGAGAGACAGACAAGAAAGGGAGAAGATATGGTACTCCCCGCACATACCACACTGTCCCGAATCTCAGAAAATTCACTTTGTATCTCCTGGAGGTTTGTGACAATCACACAGCTTCCCAAATGGAGAATCTTGAGCCCAGATGAAGGAGTCCAAAGGAGATAAAATACAACTGAGAGAAGACCAAAGGCAAGGCCAGAGGCTTTCATTTTATTCTTGGAATCAGGAGACCACAGGAGCTAGGAAGTCAAAGGAAAGAACATGACTTATGAATTTCCTATATCATCCTTGGGAAGCCAGTCTAGACATAAGGGACAAATGAAAGAGTCTTACCTGGCTCCAAATCATGCAGCCTTTTCACACAACTCACTAAGAAAACCTGCTGAAACTCCTTCGAAGAGAAGCCTTCAGGTGCCTGTGCAGTGTCTGAGTGCAGACTGGGACCAGGTCTGACCCTTTATTATGTCTCCATTCGAGTTCTACCGTCATGGCCCAGCAGGTAAGGCCGGGAGCGCTGGGTAGCTGAGGTGAATAGACAGAGAATGACATTTTATGAGAAATGTCAAAACTTGTTTTGGAAAATTGACGTAGATAGCCTTCCCTTCCTGAATGGCAGTGTAGCTCTCTGTCCTGCTCCCCTGAACCCGCAGGGTATTGGGGAAAAACAGAATCTCACATAAGCTGTGGCTGTGCCACCAAAAACACTTGGTAGGGAATCATCTGGATTTTATGGCCACTGCAGGGTGGAGGAGCTGAACTATTTGGCACTTGTCTGAGATTAGAGTAGTTATTTGAAAATAATAGATTCATTGCAGCCCCAAAGGCAAATAGAAAGTCAATGATTTCATAACAGTCCCATTGCCAGAGTAAGGCAAAACCTGATAGGTGGTTGACTGGCTTTTCTCTCAAGCTTCTCCCTCCAGGGGAGCCTGGACTCCACAGCGCCTTCTGCAGGAGAGCTGTGGCCAGACACACCTAGAGGGAATCCAAAACACTTTTCAGGACCTGCCTCTCAGGCTAGAGGCCAGGTAGGATCCCAAGAATGGCAGTGAGGGCCTCATGTGTTCCTGGGATGAGCTTGCTCTATGAGAGGATAGCTTAGTATGTCTGTGGAGTTTTCAGATAAAATGAGAATGAACTGATTACGATAAAGTAATGAGCCTCTCCCCTGAGGTCCAAAGGAATTTAAAGAGACACGAAATTTGTCATCAAAATAAAGAATATTTTAATGTGAGGTAAAAATGAATGAAAAATCCATGATAAACAACATATCAAAATTTTAAAAACAGACGCTTTACATCTTGTCGAGTCATAGAGCAAAAGAAAACATGTGCACCATTATACATGTGTTTCGTATGTTTTAATGGTTGACTTGTTCCTCAAAATCATATGATGAAAACAACTATTGATGAATTTTGATGAATTTTCTTTCCTTAAAACCAAGGCTTCCAGGTGTGCGGATGCCTTCCTATAACCCCAGCACTTGGGAGGCTGGGGCAGGAGGATTCATAGGAATTCAAGGTTGACCTGGGCTGCATAGTGAGTTCCAAGTCAGCCTGAACTATATAGTGAGCCCCCATCACAAAAACAAAAAAAGAAGCTAGGAGAAAAATTCTTTGGACTAACAATAAAATATTTAAAATTAATCTTGTGAGTTTTAATGAAGCTACAATTTTTCAGTATTTTACACTACTTTTAATGCTTTAAAGAAAACAACATACATAGAATATATGCACATAAACACATATGTAATTATCACATATGTGATAATCATCACCACTTCATGAATTTTTCCTACCTGTTAGGCAATATGCTAGACATTTTCTAGCACTCATGACCACCTGAGATACTGCCAAATGTAGGAAAAGAAATAAACAAAAGAATTAGAACTGTAATACATCCCTGCTCCACAAGTTCCCTTCTCTGTGGGTGGTCCCAGGTCTGAGGGGAATGCCAAGGTACAGGAATTTTATTGGAGAGTCACAGGAACACCAAAATGAGTCGGTTGTCCTACATCTATGAGATCTTGAACAAGTCAACTCATGTATTTGAATTTCATTTTCTTAACTCCAAAGCGGTGGTAATTAGACTTACCCTAGGAACTTATCTCAACATTTAAATAATTTATGCCTTACATACAGTGCTTTAGCATACAGTGAATGATCACTCAGTTTAAGTAGAGATTTATGTTAGTTGCCTTGAATTTAGCAAATACAGAGTAAATCTACCATAAACTCAACAGTTCAATCAACATTTACTGAGCGGTACTGTCTGAGTATTGCACTAGGTAATGGAGTACAAAGATAAGCACGACAATTCCTTGTGATCTAAAAGACTTTATCCTAATGAAAAGGTTCCTTTGAACACGGCCCTCCATATACCTGGGTAAATGACCAGGAGATCTCTGTTAATCCCTAGACCTCATGGAAAGATCTCCTACCTAAGCTTTGGAAGAATCACAGCTTCTGGGAATCTCTCTCAAGCTAACTCGAGACCGTCTGTGTTTCACATGAAGGAAGTAAGCTGTGCTGGAGACCCCGGAGCTTTGTTGGAATTTCACAGATGGCAAATGGTGTCGCACTCCCTAAAGTCCTCAGGCAGTTTATTTTCAAACTTGGTCACCCCAAACCCTTCCTCCTTCAAAAGCACTGCCTCAAGGAATTACTGGCTGAAAATGTGGATAAAGCACATATCTCTTGCAGGTTTTACCTTCTTGCTTGCTTGGCAAGCAAAATGGAAGCACCGAGAGCATAGGAGTTACAGAACTGGGAAAGAATTTCAGGGAGCGCCTCCACATTCTCCTTAACCAAGTTCTCCTTAATCCAGTGCTCCTTCACCTCCCCCACTCCAGATGCTGACAGTTAGTTCCTGCTGTTTCTCATTTGCTATTCCCACCATTGCTTCCTCATGTGAGGAAGAGGAGACCCAAGTCCCTTCTTCCTGAACTATCTGGCCCATATCAACTCTTACCTTCTTTGACTTCCAATAACAGATTTGCCTTTGGTGTAGAAGAGCATCCAGTATTGCCTTCTGTTTCACAGGCCTTAGTCTTTCCTCCTTGGTGACACTGGGGATTCTCTTAGGAGCTAGTACATCATCCAGGATCATACATCCAGGCAAGGTTAAACTCAGAGCATCAGCTCTGAATTCTTCACAGTGTTCTGTGAAAGGTCAAGATGATAGAGACTACAATATGTTCCTTCTTTACTTTTTTCCTACGGAGATGTAGTATTTAAATCCAGAAACTTCACGGTTACATGGCATGTCATCTTGCTGTTCTGCATTTCACAGTATTACTCTGTAAAATAAAAGCAACAGACAAGGTAATGCACAATTTTTTCCAGTTCTGAAATTCAATGATTCTTTGCTTTTTTGCCCGTTGAATCAGAACACTTTTTCTAGTATCTATTGGTGTCTTCCTGAAATTTCCCAGACAAGAATAACCTCAGAAGAAAAGATACTTCATCATCATGTGCTTGATAAATATAGGAAATATATGTAGATATCTGATCTAAGTACTTCTTTATTTAAGTTCTTGACTGTTTTTCCACCAATACTACTAAGTAAACAATTTTTCATGATTACTCCGAAGTGTGGTTAAAGTAAAATCGAGAAATGTGGTCTGAAAAGAGCACTTGAAATTAAGATTCTCAATAACTCTAGGCTTATGTAAGCTGTACACATACCACTCAATTCCATTAACCTAGAAAAATCCAACTGAAATTGTTAATCTTGGTTTTTCATGCATAGCCTATAACCAAGTAGCATCCTCTCTTCATATATTAAAGTAATAGATTATTTTAAATTTCTTTGGCTAAATTCCAAATCACATTCTGTATAAATTCAACTTATTTCCTCTGTAAAGCTTTCCCTGCCTCACCTTAAACTCCCTCTCTACTTCCATTTCTTCTTTTCCCCTTGCCTTTATCTTTTATATACTTTTTTGTACTTAGCACTGTCAACTATAACTTTTCCTTACATTTCTCCTACTAGCCTGTGAGCTCCTTGTTCATCTTGCTCAGTTAATTTTTGGTTGAATGAATATACTCATTTCTAATTGTTTTGTCTTTGGACTATAGCCTAAAGCTCCATGATTTAATTTATAGGGCACCTGGAGTTCCCTCCTTTCCATAGTACCATGTCTTCTCTGTAAGATCTGGAAGATCTGAAGATCTTCTAGGTAAGGATTTCTGTACCAGTGCCAAGAACCCCCTACCCAATGCTACTATCCCTCCTGAGTCATGAGAGCAGGAAGTGACTTTCAGTACATCTGATCCAAATCCCTGTTTGAAAAGTGGGGAAACTATAGTTCAAACAGATTAAGTAGCTTGCCCCGGGGACACTTGGCTGGGAAGAGGCAGACACAAAAAGTGAACTCAGTAATTGTTTATGCCAATGCATGATGAACCCCTTTTCTGTTTTTAATAGCTTCCTTTTAAAAATGAGGTGAGGAGAGAAGCTTGCCCTGCACAGAGATCCTGGCAGAAGAGATGAGTCCTAGCTTAAAGCACGTTGTCAGCACTGCTGCTCATGTGGAACTGAGAGCTAGGAGACCCATTCCAGGATTCACTTTCCCACCAACACCAACATTCAGTGTGATCTCCAGTGACTTAAACTAGTCATTTTCCCCTCTGGGCATTTGGTGTTTCATCAAACAATGGTAACAACTGTCTGACTTGCTCATTTGGCAGGAGGAATATTTATACGAACTTTAAGTACGTTAGGTAATTTTTATTACTTTTTGTGTCTGATGGAATAGATTTTAAGCAACATTCTTTCAGTAAACATTTATGAAATGCCTTCTGTATGCAGGACATCGTAATGGGTCCTATGAGGACTGTGAAGTGACTCAAGCAGGTCTCTGGCCTCTCACTGATCAAACCTTATGAGAGAGGGGGTAGTGATGTGCTAGAGAACTTTCAAGAAAGTCAGTGAAACCAGGTAGAGAGAAATGAAGGGCCAAGGAGCACAAAGGAGAGGCATCAGCTGAGCCTTGAGAGATAAGCAGAACTGAAATGGGCAAAGATGATAGAGAAGGGGAGGAGGGGAGGAGGACTGAAGCATTCAGGATGGAGCTGAGCAAGGGCCACAAAGCCCTCTGCATCCTTGAGGACTAACAATTGGATTTGCTGGGCCGGAGTTGAGTTTTGTATAGAGGAGCAGTAAGAGATGAATTTAGAACTCTGATAGTATCAATGACTAAGAATAT